TGTGTGTGTGTGTGTGTGTGTGTGTGTGTGTGTGTGTGTGTGTAAAGCAATCTGATGGAAAAAATCATGAGACCATTCCCTCCTTTATCTTTAGAAATACACAGGGGAAGAATACAGGTTTCTTCCCTAAAACAAGGAGAGTCTTTGGGTATTTTAATCACTTCAGTTCCTTGCCCTCACTGCACATCGTTTAAGACTGACCCCTCCTACCCCCCACAGCAATTAAGTAGACAAAGAAAATGAGGGAATATGTATACACTGAGCTCTTGGAGGATTACAGTAATGCAAATATACTTATGTTAAACTCTTATTTCTCCGTGGAGGCCCTACTGCAGACTTTTGATAACTGAACATTGCCCTACATTTAGAAGTAACTATATATGTTTTTTTTACCAAGTTTGTTTAGTCTTTTATATCAGATTTGAAGGTGAAGGATTATCTACGATAAAATATACACATGGACCATGTGGCTTGACACTGCAGCACAAAAAGTGGCCACTAACAGTTGTTTCAGACTGAACCAACATAAACATCCAAGAAATTCCTAATTGTATACTATAAAAGACTCATTAGAATTCACCTCCCTAATCTGACATCACACGCAGAAGGAACGCCACTCAGAAAGGTAAGATCCTTTCCCCTGTAACAGTTACAATTAATCAGATGAAAAAACTGAACTATCAATATAACATTGTTTCCAAGTACAAAGAAATTAATGTAGAAATTTTGCATCTGGATTAACTGAGTCAATTCAAAGTATATTTCATTCCATTTGTGAGGCCCTACAGATTTCCCATGTTGTTCTGGGTTTTGTTTTGTTTTGTTTTTTTGTTAAATATTTACATGCAGTCTGTTCCTGATGCATCTACTAACTAACCAGACATTATTATTTATTTGTATTAACATAGTGCTTATAGGCTTCAATCAGGACCAGAACCCTCTTGTGCTAAGTGTTGTATAAATATAGAGTGAAAGAGAGCCTGTGGTTATTTTATTTTCTGTGGGTCCTGAGAAGCAGAAAATTCAAGTCAATTAAAAGCAGTAAAAAATGCTGAGAGCAGAAGACTGGATGCTGTTTGAGATATGTTAAAGGAGCAGGTTTCCTTTACCTTCATCAGCAGTATTTCTTCATTCTCTCCTGTTGTAAAAGTCCTAGAGTGTAGTGGTGGAAAGCTGTAACTTTGTCAGAGTGCACTAATTCATGATACTAAAGATGCTATTGCTCTATTATAAAAAAATCAAAAGGTCCCTGTCAACAAATGCTTCAGCACCTCCACGACTTCTAGAATTAGCTTATTGTGGCATGCCTAGCTTCCTAAATCCTTCCTGCTTTGTGGGTGGTAGGGGCTAGAAGGCATTGCATCGTAAGATTAAATTCTGCCTAGCCATCAGGCCCCTAATTGGTCATGTTACGTTCAGCATCAATTGATAAAATATTCAGTGCCAGTAAAGTAAAAAACCAAGACTGTAAACTGAAACAAATCAAGTCCAAGTCAAGTGTGCAACTGTGTCTTTTATAAGACCATAAGCTATTCAAACCCATATAGGATGTGCATTTTGGAGGAATAGTCTCAGCCCCAAACCTAAGGCCAGCCCTGGGCCAAACAATGTCTTTATATACAGAGGTTTCACACTGTCTCATGACTTGTGGAAATGTTGAAGTTCTCTTGGGAGACCTCACTATTTGTGCCAGGTTTCCAGAGGTGCTAGAATTTATGAGTTTTGTTGTTGTTTTCCCCACCCTCCCAAGAAAATTGCAGAATAACTGACAAGGAAGCACAGCTATCTGCCCACAGTGGACGGATTATTACAACAGCAAGCTTGCACCAACTTAGTAAATAAAAATTAATTCCGTAACACAATAAAAAAGAAGTGTGCATCTTAAGTTAAAATTAAGAGCCAAGTCCTCTTGGAAGAATGCAATTAAGTGGTAAAAAGCAATTTTTTGCATCCAAAGTTGGTTGTTCAAAGCCTGTTCTGATATCTTACAGTGACTTACCAAACATAATGTATCCTGCCCATTTTACCTAACATCTTTTCTTTGTTTTTAAACTATTCCCAAAATGAATATGTTCCTGAAAAAATGTAAGGAAGCAAAATGATCTATTTAAGTATATATTAGAAGTGCATTTGGAGAAGTGCCCCTTATGTTATAAAGGTAGATAAACAACAACTGTATTTGAGGATACACATTACTTTATAGCAAAGCCTTGAAAAAATGTTGAATCCACTACTATTTTTTTAGAAGCTTTTTGATGCTTACCATAAGGCTGTAAAAAGTGTTGCCCATTGCTTCCTTGTAAAGATACTCTTGCTGACGATATTCAGGGCTATTTTGTCCCAGTTTTTTAAATTTTTTATCCATGGTTTGCAAAACAAGCTCTGAAACTTCTTTGCCACTCTTGCTTGCTTGAGTACCCAAAAATTTCTTTGTTTTGTCAACAGTTAGAAGGTTGTTCAGAACCTTAGTTTTAAGAGGTAAAGTAGGTATGCATTGCATCAATGTTACTGTATGTGAAACGATGACTCTTCTCCCTTTTCTTTACTCCCACCCTGCAAAAGGACTTGATTAAAAGTACACTATCACTACACTTTTTGGGGGGTCAATTTAAATCCAGTATCTGACAGAGAATCTTTTAAGTGGCATCTCTTTGGAAAGTTAAGTACTTTTTTAAAAACACATTTTAATGTTGATAAACATCACTTTAATGGAAAATGTCATTGCTTCTTCTAGTCAGTAAAACTGACAGAATGCAATGCTATCAAATGCACAAAATAATCAAACTGAAAATTTACATGTTCTGGTATAACAATCTAAAATATAAAACTTGCAAATATAGAACGTAGCAACATTTTCCGCCAATGGTCATGTGCAGAGTGGCTGGGTCACTGATTGTAGACAACACATGACATATAAATATGTTTATCCTCTTTTTGTAAGAAAGATTAAGCAAGCATCATTGTGTTTGTAGCTAAAATGCAAAATTTGCATGCCCCTGTTGCAGCTTGACTTTCCTGTACTCTAAATAACTATAATTTAGACATTCCATTGCAAGACACTAGAAGCAGATCTGAGTGAACACATTATTGCCAGGAATTTATGATGATGACTGAAGATGCTTCTCTGCAGGAGAAGCTTACACTGATTTAATAGGTGTCTGTTTAGAAACGGATTTGGTTAATACAAAAGGCTGTGTGAAAATCTATATTTTGTTTTAAATCATGTTTATTGCAGTTTAATTTAGTCCGACTAGGATTTAGCGCTAAAATGACATAAAAAATGCTTAAATAAACGTAAGTCTCCTCATAGGGGTTTGCATGAGTTTGAAAAGAAATTGCAATTAAACCAGTAAACCTACTCATTTAGACAAGGCAATTTAATAGGATGGATAGGTAATACTGATTCTTCCAATCCTCATGTATATGGATTGAAAATGATTATCAATAATAGATAAGTAAATTAAACAAAAACAGTACCTTTGAATCCAAAATTATTTAAACAAAACTAATTTAAAAGCAACATAATTTAATTTGCAATGGGCATTTCTCAAAACTTGCTATTATGAACTTCAGTATGCGAAAGAATATCCTAGGAAGCTGTCTCAAAAGTCTGGAGGTGTCAGACAAAATAGAAAGGAATGGATGTGGAAAGATGTTGATTTGGTTTCATCAAATGTAGAAATGGTAAATGATGATGAGAGAGGGGATGTTGCAACCAGATGATACAATATGAAAGCAAAAAGGAAAATGACTGTAGGTAATGCTTTAGGATATCAAAAGAGATCTAAAGAAGGAAAGCAGGAAGGACAGTAAAGTAGTAGTTCCATAAGTAAAAAAAATCAGTATAACGTATGAATAACTTTATGATGTATAAAAATTTTAACTTACAGGGAGCTTGTAATGCTCATCTTCAAAATAGTGACCATGCCAAACCTCAAGAATAACACTGCCATACGTAGGCAAAAGTTTTAATGCCTTTTTCTTTACATTTTCAGCCATAACATCCTTCACTGGCTGAGAGATTACAGACTGCAGAAATTCCTGAAAAATATGAGAGACAAAAAATTTCTCCGAGAAAAATATTAAACATGAAATGCCTCCCCCCACCTATAAACTTGCATAATTCACCTTTAGAATTCAAGTTTCTGTTCTGAAAGTTAAATGGAAGATTTCACAAAGCATATTATCACTTTTCTGGCTATCTTATGTAACAGTATTGTTTGGTAGATAATGAGCAGGTTTTTCTCTCTTTAGTAACCATTTTGGATGAATCCAGATCTATTTGTCTATAGAAACACAAACACAATCTTGATATATTTAAGAATTTTTTTTTACAGTCAATAAATATAACTTCAATGCCACAACTTCACAGTAATGAAGCACATACAAGAAACCTCTATTGAAATCCTCTGCAAATTTGTGGGCACAGCGAACACACTTTTGCACAGATAGCAGCAAGAAACATAACTCCGTCTAAAGTTTTTAAATCAGAAGATTTTATTTTAAACATAGTAATAAATCTAGTGCGATAAAAATGTGCTAGAGCAATATCTCATAAATATAATGATGCTTTTCAGATGTTTGTTATTCAATACAATGGAAAGAATGTACAGTTTCATCTTGCCAAATGGCATCAGACACCATCATAATAGAGATAGTAAGAGCCCACTGAGAGACTGTTTAGTCTCAATTTCTTGATACTGGGTTGATAAAATTCTTTTTTAGATGTTGTTGCATATCAATCAATTTTTCATACAATAAAGATATGCTGCATGGTACAACTGCATAGAATCTTGATTCATAAAAATAATCCCACTGATTTCAATTAGGAATATTCACAGAAATAAAGATTACTCATATACAAGGGTTACAAGATCAAATAAGTATCGATTAGAAACTACTGGACACTCAGGACTGGGAATATTTCTGTGATTTAGTCTGCAAACCACTGGAGCTCCTATGTACCATAGCAAGTCACTGTCAATGAGTCTGCTCCAATGAGCAGCAGTACTATTACATACTAGTTATCATCACTTTCCTGCTGCTCCTTTAGTGCCTCCTGCTGGCTATTTCACTAATGTTCATCTCAAAGGAAGCTGATGTGATCACTCACCACTACAGCACAATCAAAGTACTGCAGTGACTTAGAGGATGTCACTTACCCAGATAGGCCAGGTACAGATACTGCACTCTTACCAGTATAAGTGATCGGAAATCCATCTATACCCGTAACAGGACAGAAGTTCAGCACACAGACAAGTTGAAAAAATGGTGGAACCTGGTCTAAGATTCACCACCTCCCTCCACCACAAAGGGCAAATGTGTGTTCTGTTTAGTACTGATCTAAACTACACCACTTACAGAAAATAGTGCAACTGTGAAGAGAGTCCCAATCACAGTAACAGAGATACCACAGCACTTTCAGAGCCACTGCTCCCTCCAGAATTGTGGAGGGAACTGGCAGAAAGGTATTTCCAGTCCCAGAGCAGGACAGCAGAGGAGGGACACCAGCAAGTTGGGCAACAGGATGCTCCAGGCTCTGGCAGCTGACAGAGTCTCAAGTCCTCCAGCAGGCGGAGAAGAGGAGCCCGCCAATTGGAGGTGGCTGAAGGACCACCGACAGGAACCTGACCAAGGAACGCCGGGGGAATAGTGAGGACCTGGAGAGCAGAAGAGAGTGGCAACAAGGACCATAATGGGCCAGACCACAGCAAGAAGCCACCACAACCAGAGAGTGAAGTAAGAGTCCTAACCCAAGGTGAGTCAGTGGTCTATGGATGATGCAGGCTCTTCTTCCTTCTGTGTTATTGGGTTTTGTTTTTATTTTGATCGCTTCTCTCTTCTGTACTGGGGAAGGCAGCAGAGAGACCTAAATGGAAGAAGGGCTGCGATTCCGGTGTGGAAACCAGGTGTGGAACCAAGTGTCCATTGAAGAAAGATTGATTTAAGTTGATTATGGCAAGGGAGCCTGTTGAATTCATTCATAACAAACAACCGATTTGACCCTGGTGAGTGCTGTGTGGGTGACTACCTGATGAGCTTGACAGGGCACTCTCTCTGAACCAGTCCATATAAGTGGAGGTAACTTGACTTGCGTTACTGAGTAAGAGACTTTTATTTGGCTTCATATAAACTGATCAAGAATGTGGGCACTAGAAATCATGGATAAGTTAATTCATGCTGCAAATTGATGAACTTGTTAAGAGGCTGATATAGTGAGAGAGTGGGTCAACCTTGTTGTGTACCAATTAGTCTAAGCTGGCAGCCTAGCAGTACCTGAATCATTTGATTTCTTTTCAGACATAATCCCTGTCTTTCTTCCAGCTAGCCATCTAGACACTAACCATCTTCTGTGGTGTGGGCAAGGGCGGGATGTAAGGGGAGGAGGAGCTCCATGAAGGACTCCCTGGGAAGGGCTCAGAGCAACTGTCGGCCTCCCGATCTCCAACTCCCAGCTAGACTCAAAGTATCATCAAGACATAACTGGCAAGGGCAAAACATCTGAGACAGAGGATTGTGACAATCCCTGACCATTTCCCAGACAGAGCACTCAAGCAGAACATCTGGGGGGTGAGGCCCCCCAACCCTACAGGAAAACATCTTGACAGTGCTCACAGATGTGCTTGGGAGGGAAGGTTATTTTAAATCGGAGCGGTTCCTGGAAAGCCCCTCTAATTAAAACACCTCATTATTATACATATTAGGCCTCCTGCATTTCAAAATGGACATGGAGGCACTTTGACTAAAGCTCATTCAACAAGTTTTAGTTAAAATGGCCCTATGGCCATTTTGAAACATGGGACGCTTAATACATGCAATGGTGAGGTACACTGGAGCATTCTAATCAGAATGCTCCAACGTATCGGAGCACATCTATAGGCACCCAGTGAATCTAAATGCAGGAGACCTGAACTCAGAATGAGTGCAGATTCCAGGCAAAACATTAATTTGCAACTGATATTTAGGAATGGAGTTGTACAGGCACCTTAAAATGTTAGGGTGAGGGAGAATCCTTTAGTTCTCAATTAATGACCCTAACTTTTTTAATTAATGATCTGAGGCAAGTTAAAATTATACAGGCAGACCATTACAAAGCTGGGTCATACCTGCTTGGATGCCAGGCATCTACACCATAAAAGTTCCTGCACTAAAGAAATTATTTTCTATGCTGTGCAGATTTATTAGTGTTGGCAATATTATAAAAATACCCTGCACCATTATTGCTTACAAAGGTGCCACTTCAATACTACTGCAGTTTAAGAACTTGTCTACCAAGAATAAGTTAGGGGGAAAAAAGTACGAAACACCTCTCCTGGCTGAGAGAACCTAATAGATGGATCCAATGAAAAACTTGACAGAATTAGTGATTGGCCAAGTGCCAGATACAGAGGCGGTTCCATAGCTGCTATAATTATATGCAGCAGAGACACCCAAGAGGTCACATAAAAGGAGAGAGAGGAAGCCAACTGCAGAGCAGGGCATTCCATTGACATCTGGGTCCTGCAAATGCCAGCAGCTGGATTACATGCTGTCACTCTCCTGGTGTATTTCAAAGTGGTGCGTAAGAATATATGTGCATTTTGGTTGTCATTCTCTGCTGCCTCTTATCTTGGCTTACATATACCCTGCACAGTGCAGTAAATGACTGCAAAAGTTGCAAGAAGGTAGAGGATCAACACCGAATTCTGTATTTCAAATGGAAAAGACTGACTGGGTAGAATATTTGTGAATACAAATCTAAAGGAGAGCCACAGCATTTTACTAACACATCACAGGCTACTACTTAAGCATGAATAAATTTGTACATGATGAGATCCCATGTCTTCCTTCAGCCAGAAACATTTGTGAGAGAGAAAAAAAAAGTTTCCTCTTGAATACTTACTATGCTTGGAGAACCCTGAAACAATGGAGCACTGTGCACCCCACACCACACGTAGCCTCTGAAAAAGAAATAAGGGAAAGAATGACCAAAATATGCAATCTGTTTCTCTTGCATAATTTTACTATTAATACAATGGCATAAATAGAGCTGCAATTTAATTAGATGATAACTGGAGGGGTTTTGTGTTTATGAGGTAATAAATATATCTTGGACTAATAAACTCTCCAAGGCTGAAATGTTTAATTAATCTAGGATATAAAGATTAGAAAGTTAGCAGGAGGCAACCTCAACTATTATGCTGAGATGTCTATTGATTCAATATTTTGAGACATACAGATAATTGGGGTTCTTCTGTTAAATGGATTAAATCAGAAATGGAGACAGTCACAACTGTTGTGGGCAAAGGAATGGTAAGTTTAGAATTAGTCCAAGTACAACAATTTTATATTCTTATACTTGGTAAATACTTTTGAACAGTGAGATGCCAGAGACTGTACATCACTTCTGAGTTCTCACTGACTGAGTGAGAGATGAGGTGAAAAAGACACTTGAGTTTTGAGATCTGGAATCAGGAAGTCTCGTGTTTTAATCCCAGCTCCAACACTATCATTCTCTCTGGCCTGGGACAAGTCATTTCACCTCTTCCTTTCTAAATAACGCTTACGCCCCCCAGGAATTATGAGAAAAACTTAGAAAAGTTTGGGAAATTTTCTGACCATGAAATGTCCTACGTAAGCGTTAAGTAATATGGTTCATTATAATTAATCTTTCTTACCTTTGGACAGCAGAGTCAGGAAAGATATGCTGTTGAGGACCCTAGATAATTACTAGTAAATGAATCCCTTCTTTCTTCTACCAGCTTAACCTTTTCTTGTTCACTGATGGCTGTTCAATTTACAGGACTTAACATTTTAATGGACAGACTGACTGGCAAAGAAATATATTCTTAATGAACAAAACAGTACACGGTATAGTGTACTTTTACATTTCATTGCATCAGTTCATTACCTCCTAAATTACAAATAATTGCAAACATATCCAGCACATTATGGCCTTTGGCTTCCAAAGTGATATTTAAATTGAGATGAAGGGGTGGATTCTTCCATAAGAGGGAAACAGTTCTTATCCTATCCTCATGGAACATCCCCGAACAGCCCTATTGGTCTGCCTCTCTAGGCCAGCGATTCTCAACCAGGGTGCCAAAGATCCCTTGAAGAGTACTACAGAATGATTCACAACATACACCCAGAGATTTCACCTAGGAATCCAAAGTGTCAAAAAAAATTTGACCTGTTCTGGACATTCCAAATTGTCTGCAACAGAAAAATTGTTCTATTTTTCAGTAGTCAACCCCACCACTCCTCCCTCTCCCCCTCCGCCCCAACAAAAACACAAATGAAAACTACGAGCTGGCATTTGCCAAGGGGTGCATTGAGTCTAAAAGTTGAGAGCCACTGCTCTGTGCTTTCCTTCTCCTGGACCCACCTGCAACATAAATACCATATAATAGAGAGCCACTTTTACTGTACATCCCATTACATTTTTATTTTCTTAACACTACTCTAAAGACTTCTTGCCTAGTACAGCATGTCAAGGATTTAGAAACTACCCATTCATTGCTGTAAGGATTTATCTCTCAAACAGCTGTGCCAAGAAGTCACAGGAATCAAACTGCAGTTCTGTGAGCAGCATAATCTATTAACTTGTCCTTGGGTGGTTACAATTACTGCTTTACAAATCGCAGCATAGTCCACTCCGTTTAAGCTGCACCTCTCAGTTACTTCAAAAATATCAACTTCCCAGGCAGGCAAGGATGAGAAGCAAATTCAACCCTGACACAAGTAATGACAACTGAAGTGAAAGACCAAGACTGCTTATGCCACGGCTAAATTTCATCTTGAAAGTTGTGCAAAGAGTGAGATTGGAGAGAAAATACGTTGTATCACTCAACAGCACCTTTTCGTGTGATGAGGGAGCTATACCAACAGACTCCAAAAAGGAAGCTTATCTACACTTCAGCTGTATAATGATAGTTACCATGACACTAACAGACGAAAAGGACAGGACAAGACAGGACAGGACAGGAAGATCCCTGGTACTTCAAAAGGACAGTGGAAGTGCTGCTGTTAGGGAAAATAAGTGTTACATAATAGATCTTTGGGTAAGGCAGAAACCTGCTTCTCAACACCAGCCTGTGTTATGGGGTGGCAGTAAGAAAGACACACTGCTGAAGGTTTCTATATATAAATGTTAAATATATATAAAATGATGCTTGTAAATTCATTTCAATGACTCCTGTTTAATGGCTGAGGGTTTAGTGGATTTCTGTTCTGGCTGTGGAGGCTAAGAGCAAAGACCTGTGGATTTAGTCTTGTAAAAATCTTTCTCCATAATGAATGGAAGACAATGATGACAGCCATTTCCAACACTCCAGCATTTTAATTCTCAAGCTTATACACTCTCTGCAAATGAAACAAGCCACTGATCTAACTTTCTGATATTACATCTCTAGGCAGCATGTTATTCATACAGTTTATGTAGATGTCTTTACCCTCTGGAAAAACAAAGTTTAAGAAAAATGTCTTTATCTTTGGGGAACATTTTAAGTCTCAGGATAACTGCATTAGGTAATCTAAGTCTATTACTTTGTATCTGACATTTTATTACTAGATTGGTAATAGGAAATTACCAAATAAAATTGGTATTTTACTTGGTAATTTTTTTCCGTGGGTCTTGGCTAATATGAAAGACGGTGATCATCAAATTTATTCAAGTTTTCCTGTCAACAACATCATTAACCAAATCCCTCAATTTCAGAGTAAATAAAAGCATCTGGGTTTCTAGCACAGCAAGACTGACTTGCATATTTAAGTCTCATATATAGATGAATTTGCACTGGACCAAATTTGCATATTAATGAAGAACTAATTGCTCTTTGCAGTCAATGTTATGCAAATGAATTTACTACTCTCTGTACCATTTTCATAATGTTTGGAAAGATCCAAAAAATGCAAAACTTTAAAAAAGTATGCATATGTGAGAGACTGGAAATAAATAATATTGCAATTATATCACATCGCCTTATATTACATTTTCATACTACTTACCCTTTAATGTTTTTGCTTTATTTTAATATCTTCCTACAAAAGATACCCAATTCATAGGAAAACTTGAGTTTTTCCTTTCCTCTCTGTCTCTTACAGCCCTTCAGCATTTAACAGCTTGTGACTACCCATTATAACATCTTGTTTCCAGCTGGAAGGATAGTGAGCTGACTCTAAATGCTGAGTTTTGGGGCTATGTTTTGTATTTGCTAAACAATTATTTCATTCCTGTCTACCTTCCTCTTGCCATAGGCTTATTAAAAGTATCCAGTTTATGACTGTCAACTGGTTCTCGCCTTAGAAGTGCATTTCACATGCATTTTTCTCCAAGAAAAATGGAAATAAACACTATAAACATTGAACAAACATAAATGGTTCAGTGTTATGCACTGTCAAGTGGATGCCTCCATTCAGTGTCTCACTCCAAGTTGAAATGTAATGCATTAGAGGATGAAGGAAAGTACATGGAGAAAGAGCGAGACACACAGATAAGCAAAGAGAAAGAAGATGATGAAAGAAACGAGGAATATCATGAGGCAAAGGGAAAGACGACAGAGAAGGACTGGCAAGAACTGGAGCAGACGACAAAGGAAATGGAGCTAGAAGGTGAGAGCGCGATTCGTTGCGTAAATTCACATCTAGATCAAAAGAGTAAAGTGAAGCGTAACAAACTGAGTTTAACAGGAGAAAAAAAATGAAAGAGGAAAAATATTTCACCAACAAGCACCATAAAAAACCAAAAGATATTGAGGTACACTGGAGAATGGAAGATGAGAAAAGATACTATAAATAGACAGAGATAAGATATATGAGATAAGATATCTAAGTAGCAATACCTTAACTGTGAAGGCCTTTAGGAATAGATATTGGAGATTATCTAGATAGAGAGATAGATAGACAGCTAAAAAAGATGGCGCACAGAGGAATACATGCCGTCTTTTGTTTCATAAAAACTTGTTTATTGCTAAGTACTGGTATTTGATATCTCCACAGGCATCTATTGTCTGTCGACGAGAAACTAGGGCTGGTTATTTAAAAAAACAATTACTAGTTATTTAAAACTAATACATATTTTCAATCCCATAACAAAACTGTCTGAATATTTGGGTATCAACAGGTTTGTTGGTTATGCACACTGAATGCATCAAGTAATATTTTTCCATAGAGTGATGAAGAAGAATTACTTGAAGGGAGACTTCTAGAAAGTAGCCCTCTGGATCTATATCTATAAAAGTTTCATCCATTGCAAAATTACAGAACATGTATTAATGTTTTTAATCTCATTATTCAGCATTGGTTTTGAGTGTTACAAAGTGGATGTGGACATCCTGCACTCTATAGATCTCCCGTTCTGTAATACTCTTCAAATTAAATCTCAAGACTACGTTCCCCTGCAACTAGCTATTATATTCCCACCTTAATTTGGAAAAGGGCCGGTTTACTAGACACACTTTAGAGTTAATCAGTGTAATCTCAGTTCTATAAACCACATATAATTAGCCATATTGCTTTCTTGTCAAAGAACTTCAAGATTCTGTGATTTTAATTTTTAACAAAATCCATGAATTTTGATATTCAGAAGTCTTTCCATATGAGTAAAAGGAAGTAGTGACAAATAATACAACTGTTTGCATGGAAAATCTGAAGAGTGTAAATTAAAACCTAGGATGCATGAGAGGCTACCAACGATCCAGAATGTAACAGTGCCATTACAGCAATATAAAAGGACCAGCTTAATTATTTTTCCATGGAAATTTTTAGCAAACTAGAGAATACTGATTTTTTCTTTGGTTATATAAAAAACAACAACAAAAAACACCTAGAGAGAATTAAAGCTGGTTTGCATTCACAAAGGATAATGCTGACTCAGCACAGCATGGTAAAATAATGTGACTATTTTGCAGATGAAGAATTGAAGCATAAAGTGACTTGACCACAGCACTCAGGAAGACCGTGACAAACTGAGAACTGAACCCATATCTCCAGAGCCCTTAGTCAATAACTCAGCCCTGAGTCTGAGTCACTCCTTGTCACTTCATCTATACAGCAGTTGGCTTTTCTTTTCATGTTTGAGAACATGACGTGATCCTGTAATTCTTGTCACCTTTGTTTTCTGAAGATATCTGCAGGTTTAGAGAGAACTATAAACTACTGCTACATAATCATCACCGTCACCGGAGTGATATTTACCTGTCAAAGAGCGGAATGACAGTCCATCCTAATTGTGATTGTGCATTAAGATCCAGGACCTGGCCAGGACGAGCTATTACTTCTGGCCTTTGTCCACTTGGGTCTGGAACATAAACAGCATTCAAGCCATACACTTGAACTAACAGTACACAGTGAGCATCAAGATAAGGGTGCAGTACCTACAACAAAACAGAGTACTTGTAAGAGATGGGGCTGGCTTAACAATTAAAAAATACTGAATCAAAGAATTACTCTAAAAGGACTCTAAAATCCCTTGGCTCATCTTCAGAAGACAAGTCCAGTCAACCCCTGAATAAAGTTAAAACGACCAGGTTTAATTAGGATTATTGGTCCCAACAAGGACACTCCTCCAGAGAGACAGATCGTACTTTTGAAAGAGCTACCTGGATACCATGTGAAGAACTGCTGCAGTAAAACGAGAATCCCCACAAATCATACACCATTAGTTATGAGATACCAGCCTTCCCTGGAACCTGTACAGAAAATCCTCAAAAAACTGCAACCCATACTAGAACAAGACCCAACTCTTAAAGAGATTTTTCCAGAACCACCCATCCTAGCCTCTAAACAAGCACCAAACCTCGCCAACCTCATCACCAGAAGCAAACTTCCTATGGCCCAAAGTACACTGAACGACCATGCCGGGACAAAAAGTGTAAAACTTGACAACATCTCTCCACCACTCCCACAATAACTACACCCCACAACAGAACCATCACCATTCCTGGATTTTACACCTGCACCTCCAGAAATGTAATGTAGCTCATTCAGCGCACTAAATGCTCTGTTGGAAAATATGTAAGATAAGCCAAACAACAACTGTGTACCAGAATGAACGCACGCTGAAAAAAATATCAAAGACAAAGATACCCAATTGCACCTGTGGGTGCACACTTCTCACAAGACAACTACTCTCCCTCCAATCTCTCAGTTCTAATCCTCAAAGGGAATTTACAAAACACCTTTTACAGACAAGCCTACAAACGTCACTTCATCAATCTAATGGGTACAAAAAACCATGGACTAAATATAGACATTTGATTTATGGCACATTATAACCTGCCTGCCATCTGATCACCCCAGGTAACCTGTCTGCATTTTACCAGCTACACTCTTCTATCACCAGTTCAACTTTCTCTCTCCCCGCACCTGTCTCATACCTATTGTCTCCTATCCCTCTGAGCCTCACTGCCACGCACCTGCATTTTCACAGACCTGCATTTTACATATCGGTTTCTGTCCTACCCAGGAGAGGACATAATTCACCAGTAGACTCTCCCTGTGTCTAAAGAAGGGTGTTTTTGCCTGAAGCTTGCAAAGAACAATTTTTCCAACTATTTAGTTGGTCTAATAAAAGTTATCACATCTACACACAGAACCTTGTCTGCCAGATTCAATTAGCTACTTCGTATTATAATGTAGGTACATTCATTATTAGGGATGGAAGAAGTGACATGAGGAATGCAATCCAAAACTTCACAAATAAAATTTCTACCAAAGAAATACACAAACTGAAAAACTGATAGGACATAAACACTCCTCTATGGAAATTCTTAAGACTGGTATAGAATGAGTGTGAGAAATATAACGAAGGTTGTCTATTGAGAACTTTCTGCCTTTTAAAATTTTAAATCCCCCAATATATTGAGCAACTCTACGCGAGAAAATCACAAGCGCAAAAGTGCAACTGTTTCTCAATACTCCACTTTACATTCATCCAGTAAAACAGCTGTTTTTTTCTCATTTTTAAGTTGATGATTTGATCATGACAAATTACTATTCCTTAACAATCGAAAGAGCTAAAAACGCCTCCCCACCACTTTCTTGGAATCACCGCAGCTTAGCAAACTCCTGTGAGGCAACTGATCAAGGTTTTGACTCTTTTACTTCAGAGACAGTTCTCAGCACCTAAGTGTATTTTAATAGCTACTTCTTTGCAGAACAGATGTTGTAAGTTTCGTGGGTACTATAAATATTAAGACCCAAACAGTACATGTTAGGAAGCTGTTCTCATTAATTTTTAACTCTCAGTTTGTGAATGAGGAGGATTTAGTCCTATAACAAGATTTAGAATATATATGGAATTGCTGAGAGGTTTTACCTGCTTGGATGTATTTAATTTTTCATAACAAAAATCAGTATCGTTCTAATTTTGGAACTTGCTGCTAATAATTATGTGAAGGGTTATTGTTATGATTATAAAATAAATTGCAAGTATATAAACATTATATAGTAGGGATACTAAAAGAGATATTATGTTTTAAACAGCTTTTGGAAAAATTATTGCCCTGGAATCTCTTGGTAATAGTTTTATCACTTGCTTTCCCTTTTAGCATCTTAAAATATTACCAAATGATAGCTTTTTAGACTAGAAGACAGGATATCAGACTTTCCATTCCTGAACACTAAGGTTGTTTTTGCAGTAAAGTTCAAGTGCCCTTTAAAATAAACAAGTCAGTATAAACCAATGCATCCACTACGGATTTATTTTATTCATAACAAAATAACAATCTAATGGTAGGTATAATCAATTCAGTGAGAAGCTTAAATACTTAAATGTATCAAAAGGCCAATGAAAGTTAATATACAGTGATTAAATAACAATAATCTGTGAGAAAAAGGCACGCAACTTTCAATTTAATTATCCTCAGGTAATGTAACTGAAAAAACAAGCTTTTCAGTATTTTTCAAAGCAAGCTGCCTTACAACATATTGAAAGTTCTGAAGGGGAGGTAAATGAATCATTTAACTAAACTGCTTTTGAGATAAAGTTTTTGGTTTGGCTTTTATTACATTCTGTATTTTAGAGCCTCCTGGCAGTGCCAATATTGCTGAAACAGGATGTCAGCTGCAACAACAGCAACCTTAGAAAGCAATGCCATAAACTGTAAATCAGTTTTGTCTTCCTTTAATATTGGCTTAACAATAAAGGAAGAACTTTGCTGTTTAATATTTAAACAGGATAATTATTCCTGTAGGGCTAAGTCTGGAAGTGCCCTGCACTGGCACATAATGCCCAACACAGCAAACAATCAGTTTTTTTTGCATCGGGTGGAGCTCATCACAGTTCCTGCATGCTAGAGGAGAAATTTCAACAGGGATCTCTGAAGGGAAAATGGATCTCTTTCATCTGCATGGGTCAGGTCAGTGAGTGAAGTGACACAGTTTATCTACGTAGTTTAAATCTCATGAAAGTAGGGAAACCACAAACACTATCCACTACAACTGCTCAATCAGTTGCAGGTGGCCGTGGTCTGGCCATACTGGATGCTTAGCTCCTGAAACACAGACATGAAGACTGTGTTCTTCAGCATTGTTGTGTTGCACTGCAGATCATACCAGATTGCTCACTGCATTGGTAGACACCACCAGAAAGGCTGCATAATGAATGCTTAGACAGACAGATTGATCGGGATAAGACTTATATTTGTGACGTAAATAGTCAATCCATGAATTCAACAGTTAACTCAAGTTTAGAGAGAGGAACAGATCCTATGAAAAATGATCTCCAGAATCTTGCATTAATTATAATAGTTATTGTTAACATGTGCTAACAACATTAGGGTGCTTTAGAAAGCTGAGGATGTTTTCTTATTACTTCAGTATGTCCAGGAAGCTGTCTTACATGTAAGCTGAGAGGAACCTGTGCTGTAGCAGGGAAAATTCTCATAACTTTGAGGAAATGTATGGCTCAGGGAAAATGTTAATCTCCACTTAGAGATGACTGTCAAGATGACTACTGCGTAACAGCAAAAGGGGTGCTTAGGGAATGTAATATGGCCTAAATTATGGCTTTGGGATCCACTGGAACTGGTATGTGTCCCAGTGGTGGTGAATATAGGTATTATGCCTACAGATGCCATAACAACTTGGGAAACAATGAAACACACTAGAGATATACATAGATTGCAGTCAAAAGTATGACTGCAGCTCATGTAGAAATACCCAACCTATCTTTAAAATAACTAGCCCATATACCATTAATTATGTAGGTACAGCAGCATAAGTTCAGCACACGCAACAAAACCCAGCTGGGACCTCAGGCAGCACGGAGCTTTATGGTGTTATGGCTACAGTGGTCTCATTATTCGAGCTGGCCTACTGAAAGCTAGTTTGGGTAAGTCTGTTTAAGCTGCAGGCAGAGCTTTGAGTGTACTGCAGACATACACTTAGTAAGTAACTATCAGGTACCCTTAATACGGATTGACAAGAGCCACTTCCATGTAGTGATCCCTGGTAGTGTCTCTGACAGCCAAGAGCTCCTGAATTGACAAAAACGTCGAAGTGCAAAATGATGAAGTTACAGACACTGTTTTTGTCATATAAAAGAAGGTACTCTTAATCGTAGGCAGACCATTCCATCCCATCTACAATGCCATAAAAATTATAACATGAAAAAATGTATGAATAGTTAGAATGTTAACTGCTGTTGAACCCAAATGCACATTACTATCTATACAGATTACTAGAAAGCGGCATCCTTTTTTTCTATCAACTGCAGCCCTTACTAACAATATCAAATTAATTTTGGTAATGAAGAATAGTAATGTCCAAATGCAAATGGAGACAGATCTAACTCAAGCCAGTGGGAAACTGGTCACTAGTGGAAATAAGACTGTTTGTCTTTCCTCCTGGTCTACAACACACTAATTGCTCAATCAGATTCAAATGCCAGGTAATAGTTGGTAGAGAAAACCGAACCAGATTTGTACTATGATAGGTTATTAGCTCAAATGGTACCCTGTGACCTCACAGCAGTCTGTTTATGTATTACTGATGAACTGAAAAATATTGGTGAATCTGTCTTTCGTAGAAAGACAGATCTGCAGGCAGCAAAGTGTTGTTACATACCACGGATGGATCAGTCCAGATTGGTGATCTCTGCTGACTTGTGAAATCAAGTTGGCATGTTAGGAATTTTTCTTCTCCTCCCCACTGTTGAGGTAACTCAGCCAAATGCATGCTTGCAGCTCCCTTGAGGACTCTGGCTAACACGTTTACATAATAGCCATCAGGTGCATAAAAAAAGGTACTGCTGAAGGTTAACTGACACATGTTTGTGGACAGAATATAACAAGATCATCTGTTTTGCTACTTACAACACTTATGTTAAAGTTAAATAGATTGTCAGTGGTATAGGTTGTAGCCGTGTTGGTCTAAGGACACAGGCGGACCCAAAGAACACTTGTCTGCCTATAGATGGTCAGTGAAACAAACCTGGCCTTTTTGGGGCAAATGCTGTTCACAGAACAAAGTCAAAGCTATAAAGTAGCACTTGCTAAGGGATCTAGTTAGAGCTCAGGGGCAGGAGCTACACTTCCTGAGGCAGCTGGAGGAATGGCAAAAGGACCAGTTCAACTGGTCCCACCCAGAAACAAATTCTTGCTTGCTGGCACGCTAGGCGCTCTGTTGAGTGCATTTCTGCATATATGCTGAGGTACCAGTCCTGTGTGCTGGCTCCCACAATCTGCCCTGTACAGCAAAATTACTCAGTTCCAGTGGGATGACAGGGTTGGCAGATGTTGCCCCTTTAAAGCTCAGGTGTGTGGATTTTATATTCCTTGTCTATTAAATTCTTGTTACTGGGGATAAGACCTACTGCAATCATAACTGTTTTTAAACATCAAATCAAATTCCTCTCTCTTGCTCACTCTCTCCCCAGTCATAATTCTAATTAACTATATTGTTTCATTTTACTTTAGTATTCTAGTTTATTGCTACACATTTTTCTGAGGAACAAGCAGTAAAGGAACTCTATAAAGCAACAAAACAAAATTATAGACGATGCAAAATATACAAACAGATTTACCACCACAGAAAATATGTTGATGATAGGTTGATTGTTTGGGTTTTTTTAAGAAATACTATTTCTTATTATTTCTTTTAGTATCTATCATTACCTTTAAGTCCAAAAGCCTGTTTGACCTTTATGCGGATGCCTGCTTCCTGCCGATAACGGACTGCATGATGTATGTTGAGGTACTTTGGAAGCTGTTGTGGTAGTGGATATTTTGTTTCATCTAGTCTTTCCACATACCAGGTTTCCAAATGGTCAAGTGTAACTGCAGAAACAAACTCTGGCACCTTACATACAAAACACTAACTGAAGAAACACTGGTTTGATAACATCGTCAGGACAACAATTGTCAAAGTTCGGTATCTAACAGTGAATGCCTAATTCTTCATTCTGATGCTTCAATCAGTGCTTAAACATCCAAGTTCCACAGCAAGTATACAACTACAGAACTGAGAGACTTAAACTAGGAACTTGTAGCACATTAATTGTTAATTAAAATCTAAGGGTAAGGTTTATCAAAGAAGCATTTATAAAAAAATCTATCTTACCACACTTCCTTTTAGTAGTACGAAAGAACAGCATAGCAAAGAGAGTTATTTTAATTTCCTAATTAATTAGCTAATTGACTTATTAATTATTCCTACGAATGCACGCTACTCAGTAAGAAGCAGCATGCCAATTCTACTCACAGAAACCTGTACTCAGCTCCCCTGAATATTGGATTCATGGGAGCTATATCTGAGTGTCTGAGGACAGCATTTGGCTCAGTTTGTAATAAATTATAAAGAGAGCTTAGCTAGGTATATCATCCTAATGGATGACGCTTTATAAATCAAATAATATGGAGAAAGAGTTTGACAATTTGGGGAATATTTCTTTGCACAGCTTATGGCTTCTGCTTGATATTAGGGACTCTCTACATGTGTGCATACTCCATTTTGAGTTTGGGGCTTAGTTGCCCTATTGGCATTTGCCTTCTTTGCTAAAATCCACAGGAGGCAACAGGAGCAATTCGTGCGCTTGACATAGAGCTAGCAAAGGAGAAAGGTTAACCATGATGATCATCCTATTCAAATAAAGCACCCTTATGCAAAGAGATGGCTACTACCTAGGGCAAATTAGCTTTTAAAGTCTGAATTCTAAGACAGGGTAACTAAGAAATGGATCACCTGGTGTGGGCTTAATCACCAAAAAAGGCTGATAAAGGAATAGCCCAACTAAGATTATGAGAAAGACTCTTCACTGGTCATTTTAAAGTAAGCGGGGAAAGAGGCAGAAGAGAGCAGAAGTACAAAAGTGGCTGCAGAAAGAGGGACATCATAATTCAGGGAAGCAGCCATGAACATACAGAGGATCTGGGGCTTTTTAGAAGCCTCTGACCCAAACAAAATAGCACTTCAGTGAAGAAAGTGAGACGAGAAAATGTGCTTAAGTGTTTTATGGTTTTGTGTAAATCTGTGTGTCTTGTGTTAGCTGAAATACAGAGTAACTGGTCTTGAAATCTTTAGGAAGCTGACATGTCTGTCTTCTTCCACTATCACATCTCTGAAGAAGATAAGTGTAATCATAAGGGATGGCCCCAGGAGTGGAGCTCTGGAAAGTCTAGGGTGGTCAGCCCTGATACAGGGAGGTCTAGGACAACTGGATTGCAATTTCCCTTTCTGCTTAATGATAATAAACAGAGAGCCCTTGCCAAGGAAGTGTACCCGAGGCAGAAGTCAGGGCTGCCAAAGGAAGCTGAGCACACAGGTCTACTGTGATGAGGTTTCAGTTACAAAATAAGACAAAGAATTTGTGAACAGCTATCAACCATTTATTTTCATTCCTCTGCCTTGTTCTTTGTCAGTTAAGTATGTTGTCATGTCTTGTACAAGTTTTGGGAAGCTGTTGTCCTTTTGAAAGCTCAATATGATCTCTAGCTCTGAATTATTGGGCTTTGCATCATCGGATTAGTAATATCCTCTCAAGTAGCTTGGTGCAGTCACTGAAAACTGAAAAACACTGTCAAACTATAGGACTCTCGTATGAACTGGTAAAAGGACTCCAGAGAAATTAAACAGGTGCAATCAGCAAGGATCTCTCAGCTGGAGCAAATCTTTGTCAAAGCAAATGAATAAATATACAGTAAACAAAGTTATATATAGCATAGATTCCTTAATCTAGGCTTCACCTGGTCTTCAGCACCTGGCCACGCAGCCCTGCCTTCCTACTTTCTCCTCTTTCCGTCTCTCAACAAGCCCTCCTCTGAGCACCTGGGCAAAGAGAAGGGCAGGTGAAGATGGAATTAATCCCTTATATACTGGGTACCATTTCATGCACTTGCACCCTGTTACTTCATTCCTAAAAATTATGATTTCAAGCAGCCTAGGAACCATCCCCAGACACACCTTCTCTTGATTAGAATTTAAAGGATGTGGTGTTGCCATGTGCTACTACATTGTAACACTCTAGTGTAGACAAGGTATAGTGCCTTTAATGCATTACTCTGGTAGAACTTAGGTCCTGCCCTAGGCTCTTAACTCAGTTTTGCATACATTAAAAGTGGCATGCTTGGACTACCCTAGACGTTATTTAGCACATATAAGCCACATCAATACCATACCTG